TTTGGAAAATAAGGAGGTACCAGGGAAGGGGGTGGCCAGTCTGCAGAAACAGAGAGGCATGGGACAGAGCTACGGTGCCAGGAAAGCAAGCACATCTGTGGGGCGGCCAAAGTGGGGGAGTGAGGGACAGGGTGGCTAGAGAGCCGGGGGCTGCTGGTCAGCAGGGGCCAGACCACGGGCCAGAGACCCCAGAGAGAGGTTCCTGCCTAGAGCTGGGCGTCGGGAGGTAGGAAGTCCTGGAGAGAAGGTGGAATTCCCTGGAGGAACAAGGACAGGAGGGAGTGTGTGGAAATTGGGCTCCATCCTCAAAGCATGTGGGGAGGAAGCTGTTAATTGGATCCTGGGCTCTGTCCGGAATCTGCAGGGCTCAGGGGGAGGCACCCATGAGCTTTAAGGAGGAAAGCTCCTGGGGACATTGGGGGGCTCTGTCACAGCTTTGAATACTCACTGCTGGTGGTAAGGGCCAAGGACCGTTGGTTGTAACCTGCAGAGGAGGAGACAGCAAGAAAGGCTGTTAGCACGGCCGCAGCAAAGGCAGGAGAAGGTGGCAGCACCAGAGACCCGAGTCCTGAAGACGCTTATGAGACAGGAAGACCAGCAACGTTTTCCTGGGTCCCCGTTCTGTGCCTTGTTCTTTGATGGTGGGATGCCCACCATCACCGTCGTTTTTACTGAGAGTTGATCACAAGAGGTGCCTGTGGTAACCAAGAGGGACCTGCCGCGACCTGGTGACGGTGCTTCACTCAGGGTCAAAACACACTCAGGGATATTTTCTCCCTCCGAAAGGATAATTTAATTCTACCTTTGCTCTCTCAGCTTCGTCTCCTTCACAAAATTCGGTGATGGTAGGGTCTTTTTCTAGCTCAGTGTCTGGGTTTTTGGGATGTGGAATTAACAAAGTTGTGGCGAATTGAGAAGGGGCACGGGGAGGTGAAAATATGGAGGAAGAGATGGAGGAAGAGAGCGGCATGCATGGTTTGGAATATTAAAAACAATTTGGATAATGGCATGGGATGCTGTAAAGGGGGAGAGACTTGAGGGTCAGATGGACGTTATCGCGGTTGGAGCCTAAAAGCTAAAAGGGGAGAAGGTTGGATTTTTCCTGAGTGTTTGGCCTGGGTCATGGTTGGCATTTCTTCTGATCCTCAATGGGAGATGAAAGATTGGCTCCAGAAGAGGCCAGAGATTTACTAGGGTTATTCCTGAATGATCTCATGTGATTACCCAGAACAATCCCACGTGGTATTTTTACCCCATTCTGCAGACGTAAAACACTAAGCCCTAACACTGAGACGGTAACAAGACTTGTCCTGTGTCACACGAAACAGAACCGTCACTCAACAGCGTCCACACTGTTCACCACTGCTGCAAGTTAGCTGCAATTTTGGAGCAAACCTTCTAAGGGCCATGAACAACGTGTGCTACAGATCATACAAAGAAGTATAGGTATTGCAAAGCAGGCATAAAGGAAAGTGGATAAAGTGGATAGAGATGGGAGAAAACTAAGCATTTGGTTAGTCTGTTAAGCTAGAGGTCACCAGATGCCCCTGCCTGTCCTTCTGTTTGGGGCTTGCTCTATTTGGATGGTCTGCTGAGTTTCCTGGTGTAGCTGTGACTCCAGCCCTTGGGTGGCATCTTCATTTTGCCATGCGTTATAACTGGGTGATCCCTGGGCAAATGACTTCCTCCCTGAATGCACAGTGGCTCTAGGTCAAAACGAGTATCACTACTCCCAGAGTCTTGCGTGAGATTAACGTGAAACAACACAAGCCAAGTCCTCATCGCCGTTCCTGGTGCACAGGAAACTGGATAAATGGGAGCCGCAGTTATGGTCCTTACTCTTGGCAGAAGTGTTGTAGTGTGGTTTTTTCCTTTCTATTTTTTGGCAACCATGTGTCAACAGCTACCATTCCTGATGTATTAACTGAGGGTGGTGATGATTCAGGAGGGCAGTGTGAGTCCAGCTGGCTCTGGGGGCCTGAGAATGTGCCTTACGTTGTCACGATGAACAGAGAAAAGTGGAGTGAGGGCTGGACTTGAACTGGGCGCCTGAAGACTCTTGGGGGAGACTTAACCAGAGGACTCTGCAGCGCCCCATGTCCCCTGCAGCATCTGGGTGCTCCCGCTGGGCTTTATGGAAGCAGATGGGAATAAGAGACACTTCATCTCCGAAGGTGGGAAGGGGAGAAGAAATCAGCCTCTGTTAATGTGCTGACCATGGAAAAGGAGCTCCCAAGGAGGCCTGGGTTTGTGTCAGAGCTGGTTTGATCTAGTTAATTCTTCATAGACTCTTGTGCTTTCTAGGTTAGGGGCACCCTGTCCTCTCCCTGGTAGATGCTATGAGCATCCCTACAGATGTCCCATGAAAATGTCTCCAGGCATTGCCTAATGTCCCCTGGGATGCCAAGTCACCCCCAGTCAAGAACTACTAGTAGGGAGAGATCTGGGACTGCGGAGACCCCTGTTGTGGTGGACACTCACCGTTGATATAGAGGCTGTCTCTGTCCAGGGTGTAGGGGCCCAGCCGGGTGATTCCATGGGTCAGCTGGCTCACTTCCTGGTACAGCTGCTTTCGGTCCAGACTGGGACTCGTGGGGTCAGGAAGGTAGGTGCAGATGGCATTCACGGTGGTCACCGCCTCACTCTTGGACCTGCCACGACAGGGACATGGGAGTGGGGACACCCAGAGACGTGGGAGAGCCAGGTCTCTCCTTCAGACCGAGCCCCTCCTGATTTCGTGACCCCTCTCTATGGGTCGTGTCTGGTTTCTCAGACACAATCCCGTCTGGTCCTTTCTGCAGGCTCCCTGCCTGTCTGTAAACTGGTTGATCTCCAGAGCCTCATCCTCAACCAGCTTCTCCTTTTTGGATCCCCATTCTTCTTGGCTAACACCCGCAGTGCCAGGTACCAGCTCATGATCATAAGACACAATTGCACTTTAAAGAGACTTCTCTCCTGAGCATCACTTCATGTGACCAACAGCCTCAAAGATGCCCTCAGACCCCTTTGATCCTGTATTTCCCAAGTTCAGCTTATCATCTTGCCCCCCTGAAATACAAAGCCTGCTCCTTCCCCATGTTTCTATCTGTCCGTGTCAGTGCCAGGGGTCTGGAGGCCTCCCGGACCTCCTCATAGCATTTCTCCCCACAGCCACGGTGCACCCAGGTCCCTTCTATCTTCTCAATGGCCCGCTCGACTTTCCTGGTCCAGCATCATTTTAAATGATCCCTGACCACATTTGCTAATTCCTTACTTAAAACAAGCCACATCATGCCAACCAGAGCTGCACTGACAACTCCAGAGACCCCCTGGCTCTGAATAAAATTATGACTGATATTTACAAGACAGCTACTGGGTGATAATACTTATGGGACAACTTTTACTGGGTACTTGACTTTTTACCATGGCTGCCCCACTTTATCTTGTCAACAACTCTACGAAATACATAGGGATGCTATTCCTGTGTCTTAAACATTTTAAGTTACAGCTTTACTGAAATACGATTCGACGTTTTGACACCCATATGCACTACTTGCAGTCAAGCTCATTAACCTTTCCATAGCTTTACATAGCGCTCTTCTCCTCTGTGTGACTCTGTGTTGAGAATACTCAAGGTCTACTTAGCAAATTTCAAGTCTGCGATGCAGCGTCATTAACTCTATCCATGTTCATTTTATCACTGAAGAAACAAAGTCACATCCATAGTAAAGAATTTCCCAAACATTAGATAGCTAGGGACAGAAACAGAGTGGGATGTAACACATTTGGACACCAGAGACTATCTGTGGGTCACCTCATTGCTATACAAAACACGGTGACAACTCCTTGGTATGGCCTGGGGTCTCCACCCTGGGTCTCCTCTGCCCCAGCAGCTGTGATCTCAGCCATCCACACAGTTCCCAGGCACCCATCTCCTTCCTCCCTTCTCTATCCCCCGCTTCTCTCCCCCTCCCTCTTCCCTTCCCTCCCT